AGAATTCTTCATTCTCATTCTTTTGGTTGTTTCTGAATTTGGAGAACCTGTAACGTCAACAGCGTTTTTCGATTTTAGTTTTTGTAATTCATTTTTAATCCTTTCTTCTGTGACTGCACAATATTCCAGGGACCGAAAATAACAGTTATTTTTTACCAGTTAAACTTGGCCTAATATTTTTTATTCCGAAATAAAAGTTTTTTCTGGATAATAAACAAACAGCTTATCAAAATTAAACAAATTTAATATCATGTTTATATTTTTTTATATCGTTTAATACTAAAGAAATTCATATACCGGTTTGTTCTATGGTAATTAATTAACATTTTTTATTGAAATCTTTTTCAATAGGTGGCTTTGCTTGTTTAGACATTTCAGTTCTAAAGCAATTTAAGTCCTCTTTCATTTGATACCAAACTTGTTTAATTTGGATAAGCGGTTTGATTATTATCCGGAAAGGACTTTTAGTTGTGAATAAAAAATATTTGGCCAAGTTTAACTCGTAAAAAATAACTGTTATTTTCGGTCCCTTCAATATTCGCATTCGCAAAAGATCCGCATTGATTAATGCGAATGCGAATGTTAGAATTAATGCGGAAGCTCCGCGGCTGCGAATGCGAATGCGAATATTCGCAACAACCCTGGTACATACATCTTTCATTTATGCAAACATTTTAAAAATTTCTGCAAAGTTTCACCAAAACTTCAAACTTTTTAATCAGAAACTTTAGAAAAAATGTTGGTGTGCAGTTATATAGCACTTTAAATTGCAGTATTATGAAGTTCAAGTGTCACACTGCTGAAAATCACGCTGATTTTTTCCAATTTTTTTCGCTGGCTGTAACTTGTCCATAAAAGAAAATTGTCGAACAAACTTTGTATGGCAACTTTGTATCTCAAAAATCAACAGGATTTTTTATCAACTTGAAACTTGCCCCTCATTGCACTACAATTTAATGGGCTACAAAAACGCATTCCAAAATTTTTTCTAAAGATTCTGATTAAAAAGTTTGAAATTTTTATAAAACTTTGCAAATTTTTTTTTAATTTTTTTAGTTTGAAATGTGAATTTTTTATGGTGTTTATTGGAGTTGACTGTACACTAATCGACAAGTGTGTGTTTTAGCAAAACTATCGCGAATTTTCTCATGAAACTTTACGAGTATGATAAGAAACAGATATCGTTACATAAATTCTCGCTATTTTCACTTTGTGTATACTAGTATTTAAGTTATTTGTTATTTAAATTGTTTGCACTTCCACTAGCAAATTTTCATATAAATAGTGCAGCTATCACTTATACTTTCATAGATATACGAGCTTTGCATTGTTCATGTGTATTTTGTATACAATAAAAGTATTTTATTTTATGTTTTAACAACATAAAACGCAATTAGTAATTTCGCTACTTTTGTTCAACGAAGTAAACAAGCAAAGAAATCAAAATGGCTGTAATGGTGAACAAAAAGGTTGTTGTAGCCGCTACAACAACAACAACAACCAGATGTTCGAAAATTAAATACACTAAAATGAAGGGATGTTCAACAATCTACTTTTGTTTCACAATTATCTCGATAATATTAGGGAATAAATGAGTATAATGTGTTTTTTTAAATATGTTAAACAGTGAGCTCTGCGCAAAAGGTTATCAGCCCTTCTTCTACGGCAGCACAGAAAGGAGAATTCTACTTAGAGGGGGTTATATTTAATCCCAAAGCGCGGCCGAAGGCCGCCTACGCAGAAAGGTGTTCTTTCAAAGAGGTGTTCAACCTCTCTTCTTCGGCAACACAGAAATGAGAATTCTACTTAGTTAGAGTTATAATCCTTAAGCGCGGCCGAAGGCCGTCTACGCAGAAAGGTGTTCTCTGCAAAAGGAGTTTAGCCCCACTTCTTCGGCAACACAGAAAGGAGAATTCTACTTAGTGAGGGTTATAATCAGTGTTGCCACTATTGGTATTTTCCAACCAAATTTGGTCGCTTCTTTTTCATTTGGTAGGTTGGTCGGCAAAGTAAGGTTTTGGTCGGATAGTTGTATTAAATTTTTAAATTCTTGATTATCTATACATAGTATAAAGGAAAGTCGAGATTCTTTGTACGCGGTAATCTCGAAAACTACTGAACGGATTTTGACGAGATTTTCTCCAATATACTTTGTATTGATAGGAGAGTGACCTTTTTCATTTAGAATTTTAATAGGGTTGCCACCTGTCTAAAAAAACTGTAAGATCCGAAAGGTTCTCTGGATTAAAAAAGTTGAGGTGTCAAATGAAAGGGATGAGCCTCTAGAAAATCACAAATGTTTTATATGTTTGAATAGGGTTGCCACCTGTTGATAAAATTACTATATACAATCATAATAAGCGTAGGCATCAGTTCTGCACCGTCGCAGTCAAACGTAAAGACTTTGCGTTCCTGCTCCGCCTTTGCATTAGTGTGTGCGTTGTGCATTAGACACGTTGAAGTAAGTTGAAACCAGATTTTTGTTTGTTAAAAACCTAAAACACCATTTATTTGCAGATTTTTTGTATGCTTCTGCTGTGCTGCGTTCCTGCTCCACCCGTGTATTAGATTGCTGCGTTCCTGTTAACATACATATCGTCGCTTAAAGTACAAAACCGCGTCACTGACATTTGCTGCTAAAACTTGGATTCGCTCACACAAGTTCTTGGCTCAATCCTTATCCATTCTTCCTGAAATATATGAGTGTTTTTACTCTCTAGAAAATAATTTATGCAACCTCGCATACGTGAGTTTGCACTATCTCTATACGCTGTTTTGCATTTTATTGATACACGGTTTTGTACTTTAAACGACGATATGTAGATGTATGTACATGTATATCACATATATTGACTTAGATATGTATACACAATTAATGATGTGTATATAAATTTTTTTATATTGAAACTAGATAAGTATATAGTATGTTATTATTATTATTCGGTTCAAAAAAGTCCTATCTCAAATGAAAATACTTCGAAAATGTGCTGAGATAGGGCGTTTTTGAATCGTCAGCTGAGATAGGGTGTTTTGAACCGAGCTCTGAGATAGGGCATTTTTCAATCAAATTCTAAAATAGGGCGTTTTTCAGCCAAATTTTGAAATAGGGCGTTGAAAAGTTTTCTGATATCGGGCGTTTTCGACCTGGCTGCCGAGATAGGTCGATCTTCCACTCAGCCATCGATATATGGTCGCATTTTTCGTTATATGGAAGACGATTAAACACGATTTGTTTTTAATCGATTCTAAAAAAACAAAGGTAATTTTTAGCCACTTGAAACTTACATATAATTAGACTGAAATTGAAAGGGCTATAAAACTGAGTGCTCAAAAAAATGCTAACACTTCTGAGAAAAAAGTTTGAATTTTGGGTGAAAATTTGTTGTATTTTTTGTAGTTTTCTACGAAGTTTTAAAATTGGGTTTATATGGGTTTTGTTAGAAATTCAACTTTACTTTTGTTGCAAATTCTTAGAAATAAATAAATTAACATGAGAGGGAAATAATATCACTTTGAAATGGGGTTGCTATTGATATGACCGATACTGTATGTATCTAATAAATTTTGTACAATTAAAAAAAAAAAGTGGATTTACTAAAATGAACACAACGTATTACATAATTATAAATTCTGAAATATGTCGTTAATTTCAAAAACAAATAAATAAAACATTAAAAACTAGTCAATGCTTGCTGTATGACACGAACTTGGATATACGTGAACTTGGTTAATGTATAATTCCTTATATGATTCCTCAAAGTATCCCTTATATAACACTGTGGAACACAAAAAAAACCTTAGTGCGACTATATCAGGTTTAATAGCTGTTGGCCATACCAATAATGCCGCATACTCCGAGAAAAAAAATTTTCACGATCCAAAAATCTGGAAAATCTTTTTTCTCCAAATTTTGAACATTTATCGTTTTTGGCCTATATTTTGTTGAAAATACCAACAAGCAAATATAGGGCAAAAAACGAAGAATTTTCAAAATTTTGAGAAAAGAATTTGGCCGCCATACTCAGATTTTTGAATCGTGGAATTTTTTTTCTCGAGAACACGAATTGATCTAGTAAAACTGAGTATGAGGCATTATTGGTATGGTCAACAGCTATCAAACCTGATATATGCGCACAAGAAGCCCATATGAAAGAGGGGGGCAAAAGATCACACGTAAATGAATTCCTCTATTTGGCCTGTACAATATAAGGGACACATTTCAAATTCATAAGGGATAATTTTCTTAGTGATGCCGCTCATAAAAGGAATTATATAAGCCATACCGTTCTAGCTGGGTATTCATCAGCTCGAAAATTTTAAGCATATTATCATATTCCTGTGAATAAAAATACGCCTAATTTTATTATTTTAATTATCTACAACTTTATGAGACTACCAAGCCATATATATACCTATTCTGATAATCGGAACGCTGTTGAGAAGGCATACAATTTAGTACTTTTTCAACTAAAAGGCTTTTTTTATTCCAGTTTTTCTTGTACTTCCAAAATACAATATTGACCTAAGGTAATTCGATTCCGAGCTGTCACAACGTACAATACCTTTCATTATTGCATCATGGTATAATAGATAGACTTTTATAAAAAAATAATAAAAATTCGATAAATAAAAGGCAAATAGTCAAAACTGGTCAAAATATCGCGCTCCTTTTATTTTGTGGAAAAGTTTATGTTATGGAAACGGTTTTAAGGGGGTTACAAAATTTGCTTACCTCTTTTGCAATTTGATCCAATGCCTGATCTTCAGCATTTATGCGTGAATTGCATCGACGGCGACCAACAGCTCCACTGCTCTCCATAATCTCAAAGCTGGTATTTAAATATTGTACCAGTAAATGATTAACCTAGAAACAAACAAAAAATATTGCATGTAGTTGTTATGAACACACAATGGCATACAAATATATGTATTTGTAAATAAAAGACTTACATATAAGGAAACAAATTACTTGCTAATTAAAGTAATATATATCGTATTAAACAAGTTTTGATATTTTTCGATTTTTAGAATACATTATGCATTTGTATGTATGTATATATGTATTTCTTGGACATCGGTCAATTTCCGTATATTGGTAGATAAAAAAAATAGCCGGCCAGATTTTTTTAAGAATTCACAATATAAATGGAAGATCGCACTATTTGAGTTTTTAAGAGAAATATTTCAGTAATCATTTCAAAATAAAATTATACAAAGCAAAATTATTAAATAAGATATGGTTAACCAGATTTTCTCCGACAAAGGAAAATGTAACGAGATTAGCAAAATAGAACATCGCCTTCTATGGTGGTGGCGGCCGACACCTTTTACTAGTGGATATGGCAAGCTCTTATAGGATTTAGAAGCAGACATATGCACACATATCCGTGAATAACAAAAATATACTGGATGCAAAATACATGTATCCCCAATCAATTAAATATGTTTTCACTTTTATATGATTGCTTTATCTCGCTCCCAATTTATTCGCTTTCAGCTATAATCGTCATTCCCGCCCCTACCCGTTGCATCTTAAACTTCCAATCGCACTTCCTAACCATTCGCAATCTATAAATTCGACGTCTCACTCGACTAAAATCTACTTAATTTATTCCACTGAATATGCAACTAAAAATTCCAAACCAAAAGACAGAAACATATGTACATTTAACTTACAAGCAAAGATGCTGGTCCTAAAATTAAAGTTTAAAGTATTTCACTTTATTTTTGCGTTCTCTTTCCGGAATTCTTCCGTCGATTTTTTGGGATTTTGACACACACACACTGACAGAAACAAAAGAGCTGATAAGCAGGGTTGCAGATGCATTTTACTGATAGTGTTACCAGAAAACTACGATCTATTAATCGCAATGCCATATTGTAACAATAACGATAGTGTGGCGCATTGTACAACAAACAATTTACAATACTCGCTAATACAGTAAAAACACTCTACAATACTTGTTAAAGCAATAACAACGCTTAACTAAACTTGTTAACACAATTAAACTTATAGCTTGCTTATTCGCAACTCACTTCTCGCTGTGGCGGCGCCTTTATATACCTGCGCTGGCACTTATGGCAACTCTAGAACGTTCTGAAGTTTATCCCTCATTCTCTTTCTCTCGCTGTTCGCAGTGTTCATCCAACTTGACGTTTCTCTTGGTGGAACATTCTACGTCGTTCCCCGAACATTCTGCCTATTTCTCGTTGTTCGCTTTGTGTTGCCGCAGTATTCGCCACACTGCCCTCCACCTAAGTCTTCAGATCACTAGGCAAACGGAGCTCACTGCCGAATATTACCCTTGCAGGAGTTTTACCCGTTGTTTCATGCACTGCTGACCGGTATCCCATCAGGAACAAGGGTATGCGGACATCCCAATCTTTTTGATTCTTGTCCACGACCTTCCGCAAATGCTCTTCCAGGGTTCGGTTGAACCGTTCCACCATGCCATCTGATTGCGGATGAAGAGCCGTTGTTCGAGTTTTCCGGATACCCAGTATCTGGCACATCTCTTGGAACACCGCCGATTCAAAATTCCTTCCCTGGTCAGAGTGCAGCTCTATAGGTACACCGTATCTTGCAACCCAGTTGTAGGTGAATACCTCCGCTACTGTTTTAGCTTCCTGGTTTGGAATCGGGTATACCTCCGGCCATTTGCTAAAGTAGTCCATAACCACAAGGACGTATTTGTTTCCCTGTGCGCTCATAGGAAATGGACCGGCTACATCCATGGCAATCCGCTCGAAAGCTGCACCTGACTTATATTGCTTCATCTGGCCGTGACTTCTGGATTTCGGCCCTTTCGCTGCAATACACTACGCGCAGTTAGCAATCCACTCTGCGACCGATTGCCGACAACCAACCCAATAGAACCTCTGCTTAACCTTCTCCAAGGTCTTCGTGATTCCCAGGTGCCCTCCACTAGGACCATTGTGGAATTCCTTGAGTACATCCGGAATTCTCACCCTTGGAACTACTATCAGGTTGCGGGTGCACTGGCCATCTTCGCTTTCCCATACCCTATGCAAACAGCCAGATATTAATTTTAAGCTGTTCCATTGTGCCCAGTACGCCTTTGCGATGGGGCTTTCCGCTGCCATTTGCTCCTTAGTTGGCCTTCTGTCCACCTCCAGTCCATGCATCAAAAGCTCCAGATCTGGATCTTCCTGCTGACACTTTCGTAGCTGTTCTTCCTTCCACTCTTCCGCTGGTGTTATTGTCGATAGGCGGACGTCTATAATGTCCTCTTTTCTCTCAGCTTTTGAGCAGTGTTTACATTCCAGGCTACATGGTCGGCGGGACATGGCATCAGCATTACCGTGGACACTTCCCTTGCGGTGCTCAATAGCGAAGTCATAACTTTGCAGTCTCTCAATTCACCGAGCTAGCTGTCCTTCTGGATTCCTAAACTGTAGTAGCAACTTCAGCGCTGCATGTTCCGTTCGAACTCGGAAACGTTGCCCTTGGGGTACTTGTGGAAATGTTTGACGCACTCCACCAACGCTAGTAGTTCTCTCCGAGTTACGCAGTAGTTCCTTTCTGGTTTTCCAATCGACCGCTATAGTAAGCAACCACCTTCTCCTGCCCATCAATTAACTGCGACAGTACGCCTCCTATGGCATAACCACTAGCATCCGTATCCAAAATAAACGTTGCACCTGGAACGGGATACGCTAGCATAGGTGCAGTACATAGTAGTTCCTTCAGAGTCTGGAAAGCCTCCTCCTGCTCCTTATTCCACTCGAAGGGTCTATTTTTCCTAGTGAGCTCGTGGAGGCTATTAGCAACGCTGGCGAAATTCGGAACAAATCGGCGGTAGTAGGTGCATAGCCCAAGAAAACTTCGTAGTTCGTGCAGGTTCCTAGGTCTTGGCCAATCCTTTACTGCTTCTATCTCTTCCTTCGCAGTACAGATGCCCTCCGTTGTCACCTTGTGCCCTAAGTAGTTCACCTCCTTCCTGAACAGTGAGCACTTTTTAGGACATCGCTTCAGACCAGCGCCAGCTATCCTCTGGAAAACTTCTTCCAAATTGTTCAGGTGTTCCTCAAAGCTTTTACCCAATACGATAATGTCGTCTAGATACACCAAACATGTTTTCCAATGCAGTCCTTTGAGCACATGGTCCATAAGTCGTTCAAAAGTGGCAGGAGCGTTGCATAATCCAAAGGGCATCACCGTGAATTGCCACAGACCGTCTCCAACGCTGAAAGCTGTATTCTCCTTATCCTCGTCACTTACCTCCACTTGCCAATAACCGCTCTTAAGGTCGAGTGTTGAGAACCACTTTGTTCCAGTCAACGAGTCCAGAGTGTCATCGATCCTGGGAAGAGGATAGCTGTCCTTTTTCGTCACATCGTTTAGTTTCCGGTAATCTACGCAGAACCGTATTTGACCATCCTTCTTCTTCACAAGTACTACCGGCGAACTCCATGGACTCGCTGATGGTTCAATCACACCACTCTCGCTCATTTCTTTTATTATTTGGCTAACAGTTTCACGTTTGGCAAGTGGAACACTCCGAGGAGCTTGACGGATTGGCCTTGCATCGCCAGTATCAATGCGATGTTTCACAACGTTAGTCCTGCCTGGTTTGTCGCCATCCTTGTCGAATATGTTGGAGTATCTTCGGAGAAGTTCCTTAGCCTTGTGCTGGTATTTTTCTTCCAACCCTTCCGTCCATGCATTAATGTCTTCCGCAATGTCATTCTCGCCAATGGAATTGCTTTCAGGTAACTTTTCGCAGTTGAAGATTGCCTCTACCTCTCGACATTGCCCCAGTACAGCTCCTCTTCGGAGTTTGACTGGTGATTTGAACTCATTGAGCACTCGAACTGGGATGCGTCCATCCTTTTGCGTCTTAGCCAAGGTTTTACCAATAAGTACGTCCGGTGTAGAATTTTGTGTTGCTTCAACAACCCACAGTTTGTTTGTCCCACAAAACTACAATGCAACTGGGAAGGTCCGTATAAGGTCGTAAAACGGCTAAATGACGTAGTGTATCGGATCCAGACCGTTGCGAGACGAAGAAACAAGATGAAGGTGGTCCACTTGGAAAGGCTTGCAGCGTTTGGAACCGCAAGTGTGTCTGATCGGGACGACGTAGAATGCTCCACAAAGAGAAACGTCAAGTTGGATGAACACTGCGAACAGCGAGAGAAAGAGAACTAGCGATAAACTTCAGAATGTTCTAGAGTTGCCATAAGTTCCAGCGCAGGTATATAAGGGCGCCGCCACAGCGAGGTGAGTTAGTTCCAAGACAGCAAGCTACAAGTAAAGTGAGCAGAGAAGTGAGTTGCGAATAAGCAAGCTATAAGTTTAATTGTGTTAACAAGTTTAGTTAAGCGTTGTTATTGCTTTAACAAGTATTGTAGAGTGTTTTTACTGTGTTAGCGAGTATTGTAAATTGTTTGTTGTACAATAAAGTTAATTGTACTACAATTTGGTCATCGATTGCATTTATTTAACAATCCAGCGATACGAACCGAGAGATTTGGGAAATCCGGATGAGGTTTAAGGATAATGGGCTTTCGCACGCGGCGATTTTTCAGGCAACTTTTAGTTGAAAGCAAAAATCGCTTCGTCCGAACGGCCTTTCAACTAATCGCTTTCAACAAAGTTGGTCGCCAGCCACCTTTGAGCTCATTCAACTTTTTTTTCTTTGCAACCCTGCGTTTGTATTGAAAAGCCGTTCGGACGAGACGATTTTTGCTTTCAACTAAAAGTTGCCTGAAAAATCGCCTCGTGCGAAAGCCCTAAAAGGGATGCACCACGGTGCAGCGAACAAAGGTGGCGCCGTCAGTGGTACCGCTACTTTGGTTTTGCCGATTTTGACACTTGTGGTAACTTGTAAATAAACCTTTGTTTACAAATCAGCGAAAGAGAAATTTGAATTATAAGTGAAAAATCAGTTTAAATTGTGTTAATTTGCAATTTGTGAGTGATTTTTGAGTTAAAGACTGTGTAAAAACTAATACAATGAAGTGATGTGTGTTAAATTGCGACAGCCGTCAAGATGCAAGAAGCGTAGATGCTAGTGTAGCGCTGGAACGAATCACTGCATCTTGTGTACATAGGGCACGGCAAAGCCGTTCTCAAAATGTTTCTTTATTATTACATTAACAGCCTTTCCTCACAATGATTTTGCTTCTGCTCCAAGCAGCCTCCATTAGCAAGTTAACCAATCAATCCCGCTGAGATGCCGCAGTTTTCTGCAGCAGCCTTAATTGCAAAGCAATGGAGTGCACTAAAACGTTTACTGAAGCAGCCTCAATTGCAAAGCAATGGAGTGCACTAAAATATTCACTGTTCTCTAATAGATAGTGAAAAATGCAATATTTTCGCATTTAGCAAAATTAAAACACGTTTTTCGCTGTAAAGTGAACTGCTTTGGCAGTCTCAACTCGTTCTTCTTTTCGCTCTATTCTTTGTTTACTTGTGGTACACAAATGTCAACGCCCAGGACGGCGCAATCTTGTATTCTATCATTCTTGGGGATGCACCATCAACAGTGTTGCCGCGAAGCATTTTAATGGTAGCCAAATTCCTCTAAAAAAAGGGCTAAAAAAGAGCTAAAAAAGGTCGTTGTGGCTAAAAATGGTAGCTAGAATTGTTTACTTCATTATGGCCCGTAGTCATAGTCAAAATAAAGTCGACTTTAAAGTTAGTTGCAGCTTTTTTGACAGATATCCCATTGAAAATTATGTCAAAAAGCTGCAACTAACTTTAAAGTCGACTTTATTTTGACTATGACTACGGGCCAATAAGTATACACGCAAACATTTTCAATAAGT